TGATGTGATGTCTGTACACTATCAGGTTAGTACCTGATGTGATGTCTTAGTAAACGGGTGAATGTGTGAGGTGCTGAAGGTCACCTTACTGCCAGTTATTTCGGGATCCCAGTTCCCCTGCTCTGTTGCTACGGTTACTTCTAACTGCAACGTTGACCTGAGGACCTCCAACATACATCCAGGTGAGTCTTGTTGATCGGCTCACAATGATGCTCTAAGATTTTGACCTGCCAGCTCCTCCTCACTGGCAGGTGACATGACCTTTTTGTCTGGTAACACAACCATTATGCTGCGTTCACATCAACCGCGGCGCCAATTATTCGCGCGAGTAGATTACATACAAAGTCTATGCACAGACGCGGCGCGAATTTGCGAATTCGTGTCAATCGCCAAATCGCCCCAAACGCATGAGTTGAAATTTTTCAACTTATTCGTGTTACGCCCGGCGCGATAGCCTATCAGCGTTGAGATGTTTCTCCTGTCATCACTGACTTCCTGCCGTTGTTGAATCAGGAAATAAATCCTGTAGCCGTCTGTGTTCACCCAGAGCTCTATGATACCTCATATCAATAGAGACCAAACTATGTGTATAAATGTGTGTGTGTAAATCATATGGTACAAACAATGAATAGACGCTGCCGTGTTTACGTCTACATGACGGTATTGAGTGTTGGTGGAGCTGCTACAATGTTAGCATAGCCTAGCACCGCTCCATCCGCTCCATTGAGAAGACAAGTAGCCTACACATCGGCATCATTACGTAGTTATTTCAGAGTCCCTTTTTGTCGGTTTATTGCCGTTAAATCACAGCCAGATCAGTTTATTTAGTGTTCATACAGCTGTAGCAAACAGCAACCTGTGGCTTGCTAGACACAGTGAACACAGCTCGATAAAATCCACGGAGCTCCTCTGGACTATGTTATGAACGAGACATGACGGCGTTTAGTTTCCCGCGATATCTGTGACTCCCACAACACGTACTAAGCAGAAATAGAGGTTATTTTTTCCATGGTTAATGGCGGACAGTTGAACGGCTTTCAGGGCGATAAGCCCCGCCCCCTCTCCGGCGCGTCCAGTGCGATTCACGCGAATGTGCACAAATAGTCCCCGGCGAGACCGGCAGCGTGATTAACGCGAATATGCAGCGCGATGAATTCGCGCCGCGTTCGGTGTGAACACTGCATTAGTCTTTGTTGTTGGCTGGAGCGGTGATGTTTTAGTGTTTTAATAGAATCTTAACTTCTATGGTAGTTGGTCCTCCATGTCCCCGAGGAAAATTCCCACGGTATGTTTATGTTCCTGTCATATTTTTCTGTATTATTGTTGTGGTTATATTTTGACATTGCACCACATGTTCTGTGGTACTTAACCATAAATCCATTTGTCTTCCAGTGTGTTGGACCAACTGTTTTACAGTTCATTAACATTAACATCAAACCACATTTCATGGCAATTCTTCTGAAAATGTCGACTTGTTTGTGATCAGCAGACCTTCAGAGTCAGAAGGATCCATCGTCTGGTAAACATGAATGACGGAACCACATTCTGTGCCAATGTCTCCTGTAGAAGCTATTTCACTCTTTAATTATTCAACCTGCTAATGACATCTTTTTTGAGTCTGTACAAAATCTCTTGACGATACATCCAGCAGTTGTTGAGATTTTTCTGTCTGGACCATATTGACGGACCAATCGTCTTTAATCAGCAACACAAACAGAAATAGCTTGAGTCGTAGTCGTAAAGTCTTTAGCTCACAGAATCTCTCAGAACACACCGAAAGCAATTTCATTTGGAGATAACTAACAGTCTCATGCAAAGAAGCTCCCCTTGCAAATACACATAAACACACAGAATAATACTAATAACAATGAACTGCCTGGTTGGGAAAGCACCAATGTGTACATGCATGTACTACCCACACGTAGTGTACAGACTCAGTGCTGACCTTAGCGTTGGGCCCCTCCAAACCCAGGGCCATTAGCTGAGCTACTGTGTGCTCCCGCAGGCTGTTGAGCTCCGCCTGCTGCCGGCGGAGCTTGATCAGGAGCAGAGTCAGCTCCTCGGGCTGCACAGAGCAACACACAGAGGAGAGAGGAAGAGCTGCCACACTGACGACATCAACAACACCCGTCCACTGATTGAAATCAAACATGATGCAGTGACTCGGACCACCTTTAAGAGGAGAGGAGCTACTTCAACTAATGATCAATTCTCCAGTTCTAACCATTTAAACCCATTATTTTCAATCTGGAGGCAGAAGTATATTTCACGCTGATGAGTATGTTGCTTCTGTAGACAGGTCAACCCCAGCCTCACATTTCCTCTTTTTACATCTAGTTTAAACAGTTATTTTTATAATTAGTTATTCATTCAGGAAAGCTCATTGAGATCAGGATCTCTTTTGAGAGAGAGGCCTGAGAACAAATGACATAAACACAAGAAACAGAAACCTCAGCATGCACCATCAGACAGCCCTTTGGCTTTGCAGCCATGCAAGGTGGTGTCTAAGTTCTAGGCTTTAAAAGACACCACTTCAAAGGAGGCTTGGGACTGACATAGACATAGATGTGACGCTTGGTTTGAAATATTCATGACAGTTATCTGTGTTGCTAATACAGTTCAAAACTTCATTCTTAGCCAGAGGGGACAAAAAGAATCCACAACTGACATACTAATGCTTTATGAAGCTGCTCTGGCTAACAAGCGAGCATTACCTATTTACTATACAGCAGGTACAGAGCAACGGTAGCATCAACTCTTTCAAACTTAGCTGTATTGTGCTGGCCATGTATATATATAGTGTACATTTATCAGAGCATGCCTGAGGTAATACTGAACCAAATGAAAGTACAGTAAAGCTGTACGACTAAAACAATAAGCTAAAAAAGGCTGAAAAGCTCAGAAGAACTGCAGAGTCGGGATAATTCCCACTAGCTGCATCATTGCAAGTTAACCCTTTCTCATTACAGTTCGTCATTTGATTCATGGGTGATTTTTGTTTAGTTTGTTTCCTGTTTTATTTTGAAGTTCCCCACCTCTTGTGTGTTCACTTCACTTCACTTCCTGCCTTTGTGTGTTTTCCCACCTGTGTGATTGTCTGCCTCGCCCATGATTGAATCACCTGCACCTCCCCAGTGTATTTAAACCCTGTGTTCCCCTGTCTGTGTTGGTTCGTCTGCTCTGCTTTCATCCCTGCCGTGTTCCCTGTTAAGTAAGTTTGGTTGTTTTGGATTTTTTAGTTATTAAAATCACCATTCATATCCTTCTGCTCCCTGTGTCTCACTGCTACCTTTTGCCCCCCACAGTGATGGTTGTGACAGATATTACAAACATTGATTAGTGACTTTAAGCTGCATTTATTAACATCTTCATATTAACAATGGCTCAAATGACTGTGTGTAATGTGAGAGGGGTCACTCGTAGAGGCAGCCCTCCAGAGCTTTTTAGTCTCATCACTCTCATGAGGAGCATCCAGCTAAAGATCCAGGGAGCTCCCTGAGGAGTTGGTGAAGACCCAAACAAAGCTAAAAGGAGAGCGAGTAATGCACTTAACGTTTGCCTGGTGACCAAAACTTTGCTTCAAATGAATGATGATGATGTTGCTGCTTTAAGGGAAAGGATTGTTTCTCCAAACAGACTGAAGAGAATAATACAGCTGGAATCTTAACCTTTACATGAAGGATGAAGGCACACGCTCTCTTTTGACATGAGGCTAAGTGAGCTAGGAAATAAACTGCATCTGAGAGAATTCAATAGAATCTGTCCACTTGAGAGGAAATGTGGCACCCTTTCATTGACCTCATGACTTTGCTACTGGCTACTGTCATCTACTTTCAATGTTATTGTCACTTTGAAAAAGAGTAACCGCGTACACCAGTTCAGTTAAAGATGTATGGACGGACTGTCCACACAGACACGGGTCTCACCCACACACACAAATTACTAGGAAGTCTCTCATCAAACTGCAGACGCACTCGACTGCCGTCAAGCAATCACATTATTCACCGCTGGCTTCAAACAGAAATATCAGTCCTGGTCCTTGTCGTTGCTTACGAGTAAAGACCATTTTGTGTGCATGCGTGCTGTCATTAGGAGACAATGACATTGTCAATAATTACATTGGTCCTGCTGAGACAAAGAGAAGAAAACATCATTTGATGGATGTGTGAGTGTTTGAATGTCAGCGATGGACGGCTGTGCCTGTTTTATGGGAAAATAATGTCAAAATTCTCTTGACTCTGTAAGAGTTTACTGAAACCAGAGACAGTGGATCTCACAGCATGAGTGTGAGGGGAGCAGAATAACACTCACCGTCTTGCCTTGCAGAGACTGTGGGGTGATGGACTGTGGAGGGAGCCCGACTGCGATGGATCGTCGGTCAGGTTGATAGCCGTACTGTGGGGAGGGGGTGAGATTGGAGTGGATTTAACTAAGAAGATTATTGAACTCATAATAATAATAATAATAAATGAATAACATGCATAATGATTTGTAGTTAATTAGCTGATGCAAACATTGTCATGCCCTTTAACTGAATGTATCCACTAACAGAGAGGAACATGACTGCATCAAAAGAGACACATTATTAAAATGAGAAGGTAACATCATCATAACATCATCCTCTTATCTATTGGCCAACATCTGTTCTCTTTGTCAGCAGACACAGAACAATCATTGGACTCAATTAATGTCAACGTAGCTGAATTGTGCCGCTACAGTGGGCTAACAGAAATGTATTGCATTGAGGCAGCACATTGTTAAACTAAAAAAAGGCAAAAGTAAAATGAAGATCTGTCTTAAAGCCATTTCATCCTGTATTCAGTTTTACCGCTACAACAAAACTGGATGAACAGCTCACAGACCCAAACACACAGATTCACTGCTAAATGAGTTATAGGTAATATGTAGAGCTGCTCCTGCATGTTTACCTTATCCTATTATTCTCACAAAGAATTATATTCTGAATGAATTAGAACTCAATCAAATTTGAACCAAACTAGCTTTTGAACCAAACGTATCAAATAGCGCCGCTTGGTCAGTGCCCCTCGACATCGGAGGTCGACACATGGAGGACCCCCATGGCTGCTGTATGAGATGCAGCTTTCAACTAACTCCACTGTAAACCCTCACGCAGGCGTAATGGACGGTAAGATGGTAATTGGACTGTACTTGTATAGCGCACAGCTACGGGAGCAATTTGGAGTTGAGTGTCTTGCCCAAGGACACATGGACACGGACTAGTGGAGCCGGGGATCGAACCGTCGATCCTCTGATTGATGGACGACCCTGCTCGCCTAAGAACATGTAAGGTAGTGTAAAGTGTGTGAGAGTCTGCTTAGAGCGGGCGAGAGGGCTGAAGGATGGCTCAAACAACACAACGTGGTCTCATATCAAACTGAGTAATATCTTCATGGTCCACAGCACAACACGTATTTAACAATAAGGGCTCTAACATTGTGAGATAGCTACATCTTTTCTATTGGCCTGAGTCCATGTCACATGGTGATGTGATATGCGACAGAACAAACAGGACTTCTGTCCAGGACACAAAACTAGAAGTGTTCTTCTCTCGGAGCTGCAGAGTGTCAACCGAGATGAAGGTTTCTCGTTTCTGCCTTTTTACATTGAGTAAAGTATAAACTATCAAAGTGTAGACAGACCGATCAGCCCCGCTGAGTGTCGCAGTAAACACACAGTAAGCCCACGCAGCACGTGATGATAGTGAGATACCAGTGTTATGTGACCGGCTCTGAACAGTCGGCTTGAGTTCTGAGTATTCTTTCCGTGCTGATAGTTAGCAGTTAACTGATGACTGTAGATTTAGATTGTATGGACCCAGTGCAAGGGGGAAATGCTGACCCCTATGGGTTAGGAGCAGGTAGCCTTGTACTACACATTATCATCTTTGATTTTACTTGAATTGTTAACGAGAAAGTATCATCTCTTAATTTCCATATCATTTGAGTCAGTCTCCAGTGCCATGCCCTCTACCTTGGTGAGGTGCGTCCTGTGCCAGTGGTCCTGCGTCACGTCCTCCCTGAAGACGGGTGAGGACACCTCGGAGTGGGAGCTGCTGGGGTTGTGAGCGACCTGCTGGCGAGGAGGGGAGAAGGTGCTGTAGGGAGCCAGGGAGCCGTGGGATGGCGAGGTGGGGATGGAGTGTGCCACGGCGTGTTCAGAGATGTTACCCATGGTCTTGGTGCTGGGCAGAGTACCATAATGACCCACGGCTGGAACAGCAGGAGGAGAAGAGAAAGTCACAGTGGAGTAAGACGCTTTCTGTGATGGTCATGACACTAAACTTCTGTTTCAAAACAGAAAGAAAAAACAACTCAAATAATAATGACATAAGAATTTATATCATTGAGGCTATTTCAGCAAAAGCATGTCTAAGACTTTTCTAACACAAAATTAGAGACATGAGAAGAGGATTGTGCAAAAGGAGCTGCAACCCTTTTTTAGAATAAACCCTTCATTCTTTTTGTTCTCCATCTAACGCTGAGACATCGTCTGAGGCTGAAGGTTAAAGAAGAGGAATAGAGAGATATAATGTGGGGCTACATATCAGTATCCAGTTCTATTTCTATAAAATGATAACATCAAACATTCTACAAAAATAATACAACTGATTGGGATCAAATGAGAGAGAGCGAACACACTCACACACAGGTTTAGTGACATGCTCAGTAAGCTATTGTCAGACAGGGACTGACAGTGTAAGCTGGTATAACAGCTGATGGTTGAAACTATAACACAAAATGACAATTACAACACATTACACACACTGGGTCTTTTTGGATGTTGGGACATAAAACAGCAACCTTAACAGACGACTCAGTCCAACTCTAAGCAAGAGCACGGGAATGTTATTATATCTGAGTACAGGGTGTTGATCTGCTCCCATTTGCCCTTTGAGGTTTTAATCTAGCTAAGTCGTAAAATTGAGAGAAAGTACAAATCGTGTGCATTAAAACGCCAGGAGGTGGAAGACACAAATGTACGACACTACAGCAGGCTGAGCAGGGACAAGAAGTGAGGTGAACTTCCATAATCAGTCTTAATTTACTTAATCAGTCCGAATGTTAGATTTCTCTGTTATCTAACTCCATGTTTACCACATCTCAGCCCGTCTGTCTCTGCCTGTGGTGATGTGGTTAGACACTAATTTGTGCTTAAAAGTTGACCTTTTGTTTCATGATTGCATTGTTGTCTCTAGTTATACATACACTAAGTTATGAACAGGTTAGATTATATGAGTGTCTCTCTCCAGGACCAGATTACCCCCCTGGTGCCGTGGGCCCCAGTTTCCTGCTTGGACCCAATAGCAGGGCGACATTACGAGCACGAACTGTAATGTGGCAAGGAATGAAATCCTTAATAAAATATGAATAAAAAGTAGGAATGACATTGAACAGGATTTGCTTTGTTGTGAGGAGGATGTGGTAAGAGTTAGCAAGCTGTCTGAGCAAACTACAGGCTAGTGTGGAGAATTTCCTCTTGAAAACTCCAACCTCCCCTGTCATTGCTCTTACTGCAAGACAGGAAGTAGTATTTTCTGTCTGTGGTATCAGTACCTGTTGGCTGAGCCAGACTTTGCCTGGAGAAGGCCTGCCTCTGCTGCCACTCGTACAGCTGCCACATGGTGTCGTCCCTCATCGACCTCCTCTTGTCCGCTGTGGTGATGGTGGAGGTGGAGGCGGGACGGAGGGCCCTGTCATACACAGAGCCCGCCGCGCTGCAGATGCTGTCGGGCCTCATCATGCTGTTGCGGGGCAGCGTGCGATAGCCCTCCGGGTAACGAGGCACGATCTGAGCACGGTGGCTGGGCATGTTCCTGGGTAAGGTCTGGTAGGACGTTACACTGGGAGGGAAAACAGACCGACTGATGAGTTGTGAGTAGTCAGTCAGTAGTTAGGCCAGTTTTCACCATTTTCTTTATGTTGGAAAGGGGGGGGGGGGTTTCTCTGGTAATCCGGTGTCTCCATAAACATGCAGACCCGTCTGATGGGACATCCTGTAGCAGCCTGGTGTCATTGCATGTGATTTAAAGAAGGTAAACACAGTGGACAGCCCCACACAACACTCTGACCTGACTTATCAAATCCATTTCATTATTTCTGCACATTTGTTCCAAGTGTTCAGTTTGCTCTTGTTGACAAATGTGATGATTGTCAGCAGATTGACGTTGCACCTGTTTGAGGCTTCTCACCTGTTTGAGGCTTCTCACCTGTTTGAGCCTTCTCACCTGTTTGAGCCTTCTCACCTGTTTGAGCCTTCTCACCTGTTTGAGCCTTCTCACCTGTTTGAGCCTTCTCACCTGTTTGAACCTTCTCACCTGTTTGAGGCTTCTCACCTGTGCACCACAATACCACACAGAGCAGCAAAGGTGCAGAAAATACCAAACGGTTGGAGTGCTGCTTGTGCTGGTAGTTGGGCTGCATAGAGTTACAGAACACTTTCAAAAACAATACTCTTCATGCTTTACACTTTAAGGATGGCTGCATCTGACTCTCATTCTTTTGAAGCACAATCGACCAAAATGAGCAAAACACATGTTTGGTCCTTTTATTAGACTGTAGAAGAGTAAAGAAGATGGAAGAGGAAACAGTGGACAATGCTCCATTACATTAATAAGGCCTCCACAATAATAGGCCTGTCTGGACAATAGAGGAAACAGGGAACATTCAATATCTGTAGCGGACACTTGATTTTCTGGTAAGCTTTAGTGTAGAGCTTATGCAGAGTGTAGAGCTTATGCAGAGGTCTAACCCTCAATCTGACACGCAATCAGTCTCAACTCAATCAGCAGGACAGATGCCTGTTGACCCGAACTCCTCCAGCTAAAAGACCTTCTATTAAGTCACTTGATCATCTTGATCATCTTGCTAGGCACTGTAATGTTTGATGCTGCAACATTTTAAGGCTCTATCGCAACCTTTGCTGTGTTACTCATCTACACACTCACCAAGCAAAATGCCTTGATGATTGTGGTCTTCATGGTTCATGGATCCCAATAATACTCTTATGGGTCACTATAATCATCATCCATGGTGGCTGTGAAGTAATTCCTTCGCAGAGTAACTACACTGTAAAAGATTGGGTACAAAAGCCACAGTCCCAGTTCAGTGCAGAAATGAATTACAGGCTCAGCAGGGAAACACCGACGGGGATTTCATACTGTGAAAGATAACAACTGGATTTGAGACTGACTACTGAGCAGTACAAAGGAATCACTTTATGGCTAGAAAGGAGGAATAATTACAGCAACTAACAACTCTATCAATGCAATCAATCCTGTACATTTGAGCTTTCAGTTCCATGTAGCCCCTACTCATAACAGCATCACAGTCTTCCTTCTTCTCATTTCTTCACCTTTGCATTCAGCAGGGACAAACTCCTAGAACTCCTCCACCAGGCTGATCTGGCCTGTCTGGCCTGTTACACATGTCAGCAATATTATTTCATCCTTGTGGTTTTAGGTGTGCGCTTCTTTGTTGATTTGAACTGTCTTCTCTTCTTAGCTTTGTGTGCTGCGGCTTTTAGTTTGTTATCTTAATGCAAGACGATGAACTTGAATGTGCTTAAACAAAGCACCAGCTTGCATATGTTTCTGTGGATGGTTACAGACTGTTACAGATGTTTGTGTCCTGGTCGGATCACAAGCACCGTGGTCTCCCTGCTGGCCAGTGTGTGAGAACTCTGCTGAGGTGGGAGCTGGTACCAGAAGATGGGATGGCAGCAGTACAGTTTGGCAACGAAGCACACTGTAGCAAAGCATGTGCACACACAAACACGCGCACATACCCTCAGTAGCCTCTGCCCCGTACAACAGTCACACACCGTAGGCATGGCTACGGGACACATTGACATGGACTAGCAGAGCCGGGGATCGAACCGCCGATCCTCTGATTGAAGGACAACCCTGCTCTACCACTGAACCACAGGAGCTAACATGCTTGTATTATTCTCAATTCTCAAAGAATATGCTACCCCCATCCCTCCACACACAGTGACAGTGGGGGTTCTGAAACTGACAATTTGATTCTTTCATACTTTTTTCCTTTTTCAGACCTCTGACACTTTATATCTGAGCAGAGGACACCAACATGAACGTCTTTGAGGAGAAACTGTCCCTGCGTGAGACACTGATCCACAAGATGCTCTGCAGGCGCTCCACAGCAGCTTCTGTTTCTAGAATGGTTAAGAGGTCACATTTCATAAGTATACCTGTACTCTCTCTTCTGCTTTTCTTTTTATTTGAAGTTAGCTGCAAAATGTCAGACTTAAGACTGGGAACGCTTCCTTATTGAATTCTGCTACAGTACAGCCACTTAAAGTCAAACAATGCTCACTGGTGTAGAAGATCAACCAGCAAGCCTCAATTTAAGACCACACCACCTTCACTGTGAACATGTGTGCTCATTCAATTCAAATGATACACATAGCCACGCGGGTCCAGGTTTGTGTCATGTCTATGAGGGATCTCCTGGCAGGTATCCCCAGATGTATGCCCATGCAGACTGTATATGCAGACTGTACACTAGAGGGGAGCTTGGGCCGCATATTTCTGTCCAAACGCGACGGAGAACAACGAGCAAACAATCGACCTCTCGGGTCCAGAGGTGTGACAGCAAACTGAGCTGATGCAGAGAGACAGGTGGTCTTTCCTCAGCCCATCCCGCTGCCACTGTGACCCCACTACAGTGACCTACGTCACTGGTGCTTACTGTGAGTAATACTGCTGTTAGCAGGAGCAGGACTCGCTGTTAACAACAGTAACAATCAGTTCTACAACAAAGTTACTCTTTTATTTCCCTCCTTTGCACCAAGTGCTGATAAAGATGACACATGTGGCTCAGCAGCACTGAAGTTGCTCTGGTCTCATTACGGTCTCACTTTCATGACTTATTCATGGCAGCAGGAGGAGAGCGGAGCATCGGCGCTCTGTTCGTCTGTTCCACTGCGTTGCTCGGTTCAGCCGGCTAAATGCCGGCTGAACGCCAGCGCTCCCGCATGAGATACACATCTGTGATGACACAAAGTGCTCTCAGCTGCTGCCACACCAGCTCAGAGCAGATCAGGGACGGAGAAGATACACTGGAAACGAGGAGACAGATGGGATGGCAGAGATGAAGAAAGGTCTTAAAGTGTGGGGAGGAACAAAGGGAGGGCGGTTGAAATGTGTGCTGTTAAGTGCAGTGTGCTTAAAACAGTTTTTTTCTGTGTGTAACATCTATGACATAAGTTAAGCATTATGATAATTATGAAGTTAATACATTGCAATGATGCAATTTCATAAATCATCAAAATAATATAATTACAATTGGCAAAGCAGATTAATGTCTCCATTCACTTTATCATTTGGAGTATGAAGATCACTGACTGGTATCAGATTGGTACTCGTGAGAGGGGAAAGTGAAATATCCAAGAAAGGTAGTGACAGAAGGATGGCCGCAAAGATGGTGACCAGCTTGTGTGAGGTGCTGACTGCTTTAAAGTAAAACAACTCTTAGCTGCTGTGATTTATTGTGAAATGATGATGTATGAAAGGACAACGTGAAAGGAGAAGCTTGCAGTGATGGAGCTACAGAGGATGATCAGCTCAATGTGCAGCTGCCCTTATGTTTATGAGCTTTATAGTGTCTTTCATCTGTACACTGTACACTGCTTCACCTTTGACCTCACTCTTAGCACTCTAGTGCTGCTTTCAGAGAAGAGCTTTGAAGAGCCACAGTACTCTACCTGCTCAGCAGCAAACAGCAGACAGACAGTCAGAGACTAGCATTTAGCAGCTAAAGAGACGTTTCTATCAGAAGAGACCAAATACAGAGCTAAGAGAGAGAGAGAATACAGGACTCACATCAGGTGGCCAGAAGCATGACTGCTAATGTGGAGCTGTAACTCATGGATGTGTGAATAAGCAACGGTTTGCTTTAAAGGCTAAACTTGAATGGTGTTAGTATGAAACTGTGAGTTCAAATCAACACATTTCACTGGTCTTTGTTAAAAGCATTACGTTGACTGCTGCTAGCAGCAGCTGCTGTGGCTTCTGCGTCAACACGGACATCAGCAGGATAGATGTGTCACTCGCCACTGACCGGTTAGAATCATCTGCCCTCCCAAACAGAACATCACAAAACGTCAGACTGAATGAATGAAATGACAATCCAGTCTCTTCATCAGGCTCGTTGTAATCCTGGGCTCTGAATGGTGGGGCAACATTTGAACATACAGAAAGTTCTAGAAAATTCCTTAAAAGAGAAAGTGGACAGAACGAGCGCATTAAAGTCCTCAATTTTACATTGTGAATACCCAAGAATAACAGTACAATGATGTAAGCACACATGCACACGTCAGTCGGTCTCACCTTCTGGAGTCATCGTCCTGTCCTCTCGTCCTGTGTGTGCGGACCCAGTGTTCCAGCTGCTGCATGGAGTTGGTCCTGGACAGGCCCCTCTCTGGCTCCTGGACGGAAGCAGGGGACTTTCCTGGACCCAAAGCCAGGCTGCTGTCCATCTCTCCCGGGCTGCACTCCCCAGGCTGCTCCCCCACAGTGGACCCTGAGCCGTTGACCTGCGCAGGAATTTGGACATTGAGGTTGGCCTGGCCCTGGCGAGATGCTGACACTGCGGCGGCGATAGCGGCGGCCTGAGCCGGCTGCAGCTTGATGCTGTTGATTTTAGTCAGAGACCTCTCTGCACTCAGGTCTCTCTGGAAGCCATACTTCTCCCCACGGACCGTAGCATACTTCCCTGCATCTCTGAGAGTAGCGTATCTATCCCCTTCTCGGAGCGTACTGTATTTCTTCACTGCCTTCAGAGTGCCGTATTTGTCCACAACTTGTATGGTACCATATTTACTGTCCATCTCCCTCATTATGCCGTACCTCTCCGTCTCCTTCAATGACAGCTGTCTCTTCACCTCTCTCTGGGGAACGTATCTATGTCCTTCTTTCTGGAGTGTGTGCCTTTCTCCTATTTTTTGCAGTGCATATTTTTCTCCATCCTTCTTCAGCAGGTACTTCTCTCCGTCTTTAGTCGGAGCGTATTTATCCTCTGTTGGCGTCACACTGCACTTTCCGTCTACGTTCTGAACAGCATACTTCTCCAGATCCTTGTGAATTGCGTACACCTCTCCGTCTTTCTGCAGCAAGGATTTCTCCCCGTCTTTTCGCAGCATGTACTTCTCTCCGTCATTGTGGAGGAGATACCTCTCTCCGTCCGTCTGAAGCATGTATCTCACGCCGTCTCTCTTCAGGGAGTACCTCTCCCCGTCTCTCTGTAAGGTGTAGTACTCACGCTCCCTTTGGCCGTTGTGTTTCTCTGGGTCTTTTTGCCGTTTGTCGTCAACTCGCGATAAGGAGTGTTGTCGCACAGGCTCACGGTTGCGTTCGTTGTTCTGGATCTCAGGCTGGGTTAGGACTCTGTGGTTTAGTAAGTTGTTCAACTCCTGAGGTGTTCGCTGATCCACTTTCAACTTGTCCAGTCTGAGAAGAGAGATGGAGAGGGGTGTGACAAAGAGTAGAGATTTCTAAGAGCTGTCAAAGATGTCCCTCTGGGTATTGGCCCTTCCCTCAGGAGTAACTTCATACTCACACCCAAGACTTTAAACTTGAATATTTCCCTCTGTGATACTCTCGGAAAACATGAGCTCAAGCACACACTGTGTAGGATATACTGTATGTGGTATGTGTATAGGTTGGAGAAATAGTAGCAGTTTTTTCTAACTTTGAAACTTTTTCAGATGATCTAAACTACTGAATATGGTTTATTATCTATAGATGGGTTCGGGTCCCTCCTCGCTATAGTTTGAATTGTTTTGTGTGTGTAACTGTTACAGCTGTGACAGGATGCTGTTATCATTCAGCGCTGTGTATTTTGATGAATTAGTGCTTCATGACCTGGACAGGTGTTCCTCTGTCTATGAAAGACAGTCTGTTTATATAAACAGACACAAAACATATATCTTGATATATGTTTTTTACAATCTTCATATCCGTCTTGGTCCCTGTGTTGAGCACCGACCTTCTGACTGGTTCAGTGTGGACCAGGGCAGTATCCGTCATGACTTTCATCCAGGACTCCATCTCTTTGGCCGTGTCAGTGCAGAAATAATAGGTCCGCATGTTGGGGTGAGTGGCCTGTTAGTGTAGGGAGAGAGGGGGAGATATGTGAGACTAACAGGAGGAGGAGACACAGACAAACTGAGCAGGAGATAAAACAGCAGTGTGACGGGGACCTTGAGATACCAGCTGGAAGTCTTTACATCATTCCTGTTGGCAGAAGAGTGTGTTTGTGTACAGTATGAGAGTGTGTGTGTGTGTATGTGTGTGCTCCCTGCCTGTCTCTCCATGTGTGTTTCAGCTCAAGTGTGAAAACACAAAAGTGTGAAAGTCTTCAAGGCTCCTCTGTGTATCTTGGTATAGATCAGGGGTCTTCAACTAAAATTCCAAAAGGTCCAGATTAAGAAAATCTCCTCGTGCAAAGGTCCGAAACATTACAACAATATCTAACCTGTGCTATTTAGTGCCATATATATATATATATATATATATATTCAAGAAGTCTAGTAGTAGTAACGTGTCTGTGTCGTCAACAACTGTGAAATCAAATAAAGAAAGTACACATCAATTATATTTTAACAATTATTATTCTCAGTTTTCAAATGTAACTGGATGGATTATAAATAATACATCAATAAATGTTCTTCTCATTTCAAGTACAATAAGGGCTGCATTAAAGAATAACTGACAAAACAGAAAGCTTTTGAAGAAATGAAGAAGTGCATCTTAAATTAAAGTAATTCATTTCAGAAAAATCTATTTCACTGAATTATCCTGCAGCTTTAAATTCAGTTCATTCAGGTGTGAAGTGATGTCAATAAAAAAGACACAATATTATATTTGTCTCATCTTCTAACAAGATAAATCAGTGATCATGATCATGATCTTTATCTGTGGTTATTAAACCACTTGTTTCAGCTCTATTCTCTCTGGTAACATCATTGATTCTGATCATTTTGGGCTCTCAGGTTTATTTTCTGTGTCTTCATTTAGATGTGAGTGGGTACGTTGGTTCAAAGAGTTGTGCTTTGTCTCGTAGTGTCGCTTCATTTGCCGCTTTTATCAATAGTTACGGTTTCTGAACATATGAGACATGCTGGTTTTAACTGCCTGTGGGAATAATAAACATATAAGAGTCTGTTCATTCTTGCTTATAAATTATATTCTCTCTGAACACGTTTCTCTTTTTGGAGAACGTCATGTGAGATAACTTCTCTGATCAGCGCAATAGTCCTGCTCTTCTTTCTCTTTCCTCGTCTCTCCCCCGTGTGTCACGTTGTGTGTAAACCTCACTCGAATCAGGAAACGTGTCAGAATACTCAGATTTGATTGGCTGAGCTGCATCACGTGATTTACACCGCATTGGTCGGTGTGTTTCCTGCACCGCTGAACAAGTACCGTAACGGCTGAATAAGTTGCGCCGGTTAAAGTACAAACTCGGTGCTTATGTATGATTCCGAACTATCGATTTTAGGTCCTGGGTCCGGATGCAACTGTGTCTGGGTCCGGATCCGGTCCGCCAGTTGGGGACCCCTGGT